CGAAGAGAGGAGAGTAGAAAGGCAACACTTACGGCGCAGACATGCTGAGGCGCGACAAGACCTAGCTAAGTACTAAGTATGGATGGATATCGTGGCATCGCCGGGTGATGATGCCGGAAGTGAGGGCGGAAGAGGGACATGGAGTCGGCTTCGGCAGCTCTCTCGCGACGGAAGATGTCTTTTCCTCAGCAGGAACGTGCTGGACTTCTCCTTCCACACGCGACCAAGGTAGACCAAGGACTCGGAGGATGACGGACGGACTCGAAGTCAGAGACGACATTGGCCATCACAGCATTCGCAGCATACATGTATCCTTTGTTGATCGGTACATCCTCGCGACTATTCTGGTGTCTCTGAACTGAACTGTCATCAGAACCACTGTTCACTCATCGTAAAGATCGGCTCGATCAGCGCGGTGAGTCAAGATAGGAGGCGAATGTGTTCCAATTCGAACGAAAGCAAGACTTTAGGAGGTACTGTATCTTTTGACCATAACAATTTCGATGATGAAGACACAGGTACTCTGCAGCGACAATGACTTTGTGCAGTCACGCAGGTCCATTTGTCTTTCAATTGCAAAAGATGCAAACCAGCCTCCCAATTTCCATCACCACTCACATTGACCTTCACAAGGAAAACCATCACTTCAACATCACAATTTACTGGGGTTCATGGTGATCATTTCATCAATGACATGATCTATTGCGGCTGCTGTGCTTGCAAGTCATCCGGGATCCAGTAAGTGGGAAATCGTCGCCGCGGGAAATCCGGAACTCATATCTGTCATTTTGCAAAAGGTCAACACTTAGGTACATACTGGGTACCAGGACTACTATCCTCAGAAAGACCAATGGCGCTCCAAGCCCACGCCCAGTGATTGTCAGTGAAAACCTCGAATATCGCCTGGAACTGGAACTGTATTAATCATCCTCTATGGAGCGGGCTGCTTACCTTTGTGTGTCCCGGAATCTGGACACCAAGGATCGAATCGTCACTGTGGATGAAAATGCCCATCATTGGCGCCACGGCCGAACTCGAAATCATACTTTGCGTACAAGGCTTGCTTGCGAATCTACCAGGTGCAATCAGAAAAGCTTAACCTTGGCTATTCTTGCACCTGTGGCTTGATCTGATCTCAACCAGAAAGGCTGCACTCGCTGGACTGTCCAGAGCCAATGTTCGAGGTCATGGTACTGCTGACCTTTGCTGTTCCACGCTCACGTTATGGAGTTCCTACATCAACACCAATGACGGTGCTCTGATTGTCAGCATCTGACTTTTCGTCCACGTCTACGCAGTTTTCGACAAAAGTCCTCAGCTGCCAGTAAAAGCATTCTCATCACTCGCCACAAGGTGAAAGTATGGGCACAGCTGGCGATATATAACCTCATGCGCCCACCTGCACTCTTCCCTCCCACTTATTACTCCTGCTCCTGACCATCCAACATTGCACATTTGTTCGAACACCTCAAATCCAACAAACATGGCGTTCCTCAAACCCACCCTTCTCCTGCTCCTAGCCTTGAGCACCCAAGCCATCGCCCTACCAGCCA